CTTTTTCTGCCCTTTGTGGCCCATGAGGAGGGAGTCTGAGATGAACTGAGGCCATTGAGAATGGATTCCTTAACTGGGCTGCATCTCAGTACTCCTTAGGTCCCGTTGTTAACTGTCCCAGAACAATGATTACACCCAGCTCCAAACCACGACGATTGCATTCGCACAGCTTTCTCCATTTTGCTGCAGGAGGGGTTCTCTAGGCCCTGACCAATTTCTCTTCCCATTCTACCTGAATCACCTTCGTAAGCACAGTGTTTCCGTATCATGGGTTCATCAGAACACCAATTCCATGAATGGTATTCGACCTCAAATTGTGTTAGACCTTCAAGTGCTTGAGTACCCAAAATGTGCTTGTCAGCCTCTTCATTAAGAAGTCCATTATTATTCTTGCTGATTTCAGCTGCTGTTGAGTTGACCCCTAACTCATGGCAACCCCGTACAACGGAACGGACTGCAACACTGCCTGATCCTGCACTACCCCATGGTTGGATGCAGATTGGACTGTTGTGACCCATAGGCTTTTCGTTGACTGATTCTCAGTAGACTGCCAGATCCTTTCTTCCTAGTCTGTCTTAGTTGGGAAGCTCTGCTGAAAACTGTTCAGCATCACAGCGACACACAAGTCTCCACTGACAGATGGGTGGAGGCTGCCCAGGAGGAGCACTTGCTGGGCATCTAACCCAAGTTCCCCTCTTGGAAGGCAAGAATTTTAGCACTGAGCCATCAGTGCCTCTGCCCATATTAGGACTTGGAAAACATCCCCCTCACAAAGTCCTCATGGCCACTGGGAAGTCTCAAAACCACAATAAAAAATATATATAATGAAAGAAAGAACAGGCAGAGAAGTCGTGTATGTAAAAAGGTGGGAAAACAAGTCCTAATAATGGGCACCTTGTCACAGAGTGAGGCTTCTCTAGTGATAGTTTTGAGACTTCTCGCTGGGTATGAGAACTTTGGGAAGGGGGTGCTTTTCCCTCCAGTGGTCAGAAACAGTCTCCCCGGCTCATTTGGGGCTGGCTGCCCTTTAGGGTTCTGTTTCTTGTCTGAGCGATACCTCTAACCTGCAGCTCTGACTTCATCCTCTTGGACCAGTGAGTGATGCAATCTTCCCTAGCTCAGACCAGACCTGCCCACATCTGGGCAGTGGTATTGGGGGCAGGACCCTCCAGGAGCCTGCCATTAATTTGGATCTCAAACTGTAGTATTCACTACAGACACATTTTCTGTGATGTGGGAAAAAAAGAAGTGTTTTCTTTGCTCGATACATGTTTGTAACATTCCAGGGCTCTTTCTGGTACAGAAATGTAGATTACAGATGGCTTCATCTCTTGTCTCAATTCTCTTCGTGTCTGAGTTCTGCACACAACATCTTGCTGTAACCTCCTGTTTATCCTTCTGCGACATGTGGGAACACGCTTGGGGGAGTTTATATCCAGTAAGGCTTGTCAGAAGCTTAAACATTTGCTACTAATAACCATATCTGGTGGGGTGAGTAAATGAAACCATTTGAAGTCACGGAGAATTTATTCCATAGGGAACTCACTGGATCTGGGGAGCCAGTTAGTCTTGTTTTTTAGCTTCCTCCCCTTGTTTGGATACAATTAAAAAAAACAAAACAAAAAACAGTAGAAGCCATCTCATTATCTTCTACAGGAAGAAGGAGATCTTAATTCTTATTTTTTACTTCTTAAAACTTTGCAATTATTACCTTGAGTATATTTATTAATATACATATTACCCACGACCTCCCTCAAGAACAGAAGTTCCATGAAGCCAGAGACCTCATTCTCTAGTTCGCCTTTGTATTCCTGTTGTTGTTGTTGTTAGGTACCATTCAGTCCGTTACAACTCGCAGAAGTCCTGTGAGAACAGAATGAAATACTGCCCAGCCCTGAGCATCCTTATGATTGTTGTTGTTTATATTCCTAGTGCTAGAAATAATGCCTGGCACATATAGGGTAGCGCAGTGCATGTTTGTTGCTTGATAAAATCTATTCTCTGACCCGTGGTCTCCTTTGAAGGCCTGCCACATTCCCTCCAGGCCAAGTGGGTTTTTTTTGTTGTTAAGTGCCATTGAGTCGGTCCCGACCCATAGCGACCCTGTATAGGGTTTCTGAGGAGTAGCTGGTGAGCTTGAACCACTGACCTTGCAGTTCAAACGGTTTTGCAGTCTGGTGCATTAACCCATAGCACCACACCAGGACTCCAGGCCAAGTGGTAAGACCACCTAAAATCAGACACCAAGTTGAATGTCAAGTATGGGCATCTTGGATGGATATGGAAATGAGAGGCTGGAATTCTGGAAAAGATGTTAAATTGGCAAGAGGTCTCAGCTCAAATCTAATCTCTGTTACTTATTTTGGGAAACTCTCTGAGCCTCAGTTTCTTTGTCTATACAGAAGGGATAATGATTGTTCCCCACACACTTCCATTAAAGAAGCAAATGAGTTCATGTGTATGAAAAATGCTTTTTCAACAATAAAGGACTGCAAAATGAATACTATTCAAAAGCTGTAGTCTTACTGACCTCTGCTTTCCTTGCCTCCCAGACAGCCCGGCACCCTGACCTCTGTCTCTTCCAACTCTCAAGTGGCATCTCTCGTGACCCCCCTCTGCCGAGGTTGCCATTGCAGAGTGAACTGGGGGGTGGTTCCCTTAAGGATTTTCATCTGCCTGATTCCCTCCTAACATTGGGGTGGGGAAAAGGACATTTGTCTCTTACCTCTGGGCCCAGGTAAACCCTCCTCCACTGGTCTGTTGTTGTTGTTGTTAGGTGCCATCAAGTCGGTACTGACTCATAGCAGCCATATGTACAACAGAACGAAACACTGCACAGTCCTGGGCCAGCCTCATAATTGTGCAACACTTTAGCTCATTGATGCTGCTGCTCTGCCAATCCATCTCGCTGGGAGTCTTCCTCTTTTTCTCTGATCCTCCACCTTACCAAACATGATAGCCTTCTCCAGCAACTGGTCCCTCCTGACAATATGTCCAAAGTATGAGAGATGAAGTTTGGCCATCCTGGCCTCCAAGAAGCACTCTGGATGCACTTCTTCCAAAATGGATCTATTGGTTCTTTTGGCAGCCCATGGCACTTTCAATATTCTCCAACACCAGAACTCAAAAGCATCAATTCTTCTACAGTCTTCCTTATTTACTGTCCAGCTTTCGCATGCATATGAAGTTATTGAAAATACCATGCCTTGGGTCAGGCGCACCTTAGTCCTCAAGCTGACATCTTTGCTCTTCAATACTTTAAAAAGGTCTTGTGCAGCAGATTTGCACAATGCAATACGTCGTTTGAGTTCTTGACTGCTGCATCCATGAGTGTTGATGGTTGATCCAAGAAGAATGAAGTCCTTGACAACCTCAATCTTTTCTCTGTTGATAAGAATGTTGTTTATTGGTCCAGTGGTGAGGATTTTTGTTTTCTTGACATTGAGATGCAATCCATACCAAAGGCTGTGCTCCTTGATCTCCATCAGTAAATATTTCAAGTCCTCTTCACTTTCAGCAAGCAAGGTTGTATCATCTGTATATTGCAGGTTGTTAATGAGTCTTCCTCCAATCCTAATGCCACATTTTTCTTCATAGAACCCAGCTTCTGAGATTATTTGCTCAGCATACAGGTTGAATAAGTATGGTGAAAGAATACAACCCTGTTGCACACCTTTTTTTTCCATTTTAAACCATTCAGTGTTCCCGTGTTCTGTTTGAACAACTGCCTCTTGGTCCATGTACAGATTCCTCATGAGTACAATTAAGTGATCCAGAATATTCATATTTTTGCAGTGTTGGCCATAGTTTGTCATGATCCACACAATTGAAAGCCTTTGCATAGTCAATAAAGCACAGGTAAATATCTTTCTGGTATGCTCAGCTTTCAGCCAAGATCCATCAGACATCAGCAATGGTATCCCTCGTTCCATGGCCTCTTCTGAATCCAGCTTGAACCTCTGGAAGTTCTCTGTCAATGTATGCTTGCAGCCATTTCTGTATTGTCTTTAGTAAAACTTTACTCACATGGGATATCAAAGAGATTGTCCGATCATTCCACTGGGTCACCTGTCTTTGGAATGGGCACAAATACGGATCTCTTCCAATCAGTTGACCAGATAGTTGTCTTCCAAATTTCTTGGCATAGATGAGTGAGTGCCTTCAGTGCCCTCACTTTCTTGAAAGATTTCAATTTGTATTCCATCAGTTCAATTCCTGGAGCCTTGTTCTTTGCCAATTCCCACAAGGCACCTTGGACTTCTTCCTTCAGTATCATTGGCTGTTGATCATATGTTACCATGAAACAGTTGAATATCAACCATTTCCTTTTGGTACAGTGACTTTGTGTATTCCTTCCATCGTCTTTTGATACTTTCTGCATCACTCAATAATTTGCCCAGAGAATCCTTCAATAACGAAAGTCGAGGCTTGAATTTTTGCTTCAGTTCCCCCAGCTTGAGAAATGTTGAACATGTTCTTCCTTTTTGGTTTTCTGATTCAAGATCTTTGCACATTTTGTTGTAATATTTGACTCTGTCTTCTCGAGTTGACCTTTGAAATTTTCTGTTCAGCTTTTGGACCTCCTCATTTCTTCCATTTGCTTTAGCATCTCTACACTGGAGAGCGAGTTTCAGTGTCTCTTCTGACATCCATTTTGATCTTTTCCTTCTTTCTTGTCTTCTTAATGACTTTTTGCTTTCTTCCTGTATGATGTTCTTGATGTTATCCCACAACTCTTCTGGTCTTCAGTTTTTTGTGTTTAATGTATCAAATCTGTTCTTCAGATGATCTCTAAATTCAGGTGGGATATATTCAAGGTCATATTTTGGCTCTCGTGGACTTGTTTTGATTTTCTTCAGCTTCAGTTTGAATTTGCATATGAGTAATTGATAGTCTGTTCCACAGTCTGCCCCTGGCCTTGATTTGACTGATGCTATAGGCCACTGGCCTATGGGCCACCTAATCACTGCCAGCTGTCACATCTCTTTCTCTCTCCCTAGGCGGCTGCTGAAGAGTGAGCTTGGGTCCTTCATTACAGACTATTTCCAGGTAAGCTGTGAGTGGTGTCTAAGCATCAGGCAGTACTATGCCTGTGGGTGCAGGTACCTAAAGGAACGGCCATTACTGTACACCTGGACAGTTCTTCAACACCAGAGTTCCAGATACTGAGATCCTACTCTGTACCAGCCGCTGTAGGGCATCCACCGCAGAGCACTCAAGACAGAACGTGGTCTCTGCTCACAATGGGATTGTGGTCCCGTGCAGCGAGTCTCGGGTGTTTGGGTCACACGGTCCTTTAGCTTTTTTAATGAGTCTGGGTTATGTTTACCCATATTTATGGTTTTAGATGGATATTAGATCATGGATATTACAATATTAGACATGAAAACAAAAATTTAATAACATGTCTTCACTCATTAAAATAATAAACCCACCACATATTACCATAAGAGCATTTTTATGACAAGTAACTTTTTCAAAATTTAAAACAAAACTGAGCGGGTATGGTGGTAACGCTGTCTATTTGTGCGAATCTCTGTGCTGTGTGGTTTTAATAGAAGATAGCTGGAGTCTCATATCTGCCCCTGTACTTAATCTATTGTGAGTGTGCACATTGTGTAGTCTCGGGAGACCTTGAGGGAAGAGGCAAATAGCAGCTCAGATTATTAAGAAAACAGTTTTGACCATTTGGATCATCTGAAAGGGTCTAGAGGATTCCCAGGAGCCCCCAAGTCCCTCATGGAGAACTGCTGCAGTGAAATTCTTTTTCCTTCCATGACGTATGCTATTTAGTGAAATCCTCTCCCATTCCCACGATGTCTGGTGTTTAATTGGGCTAATTATATGTGTCTTTTAGTGAAGCTATTTCTTGTCACTAAGTCTCCTGATTTGTTGTTTAAAGACAGGATTGATTAGACTTTCTGCCTAAACATCCCTTCTTTCTAAACATCCTTCTTATGGTGAGAATGAGTTCAAGGTTCCCAGGTACAATAACAGGATGTTTTCTAATACGTGGACACAAGTTGAGTTCCTGACTTGAACCAAATGTGTATGCAGGTGGACGCACGGGCAGGTGTTGAGTGACATTGGATAGGTGGCATTGTCCTTGAGGCATGTGGCCTTGGGCAAGGCAAGCTGCTTTCATTGTTGTGCCTTAGTTTCTTCATCTGTAAAATGGGAATAAAAATAGGACCTAAATGAAATAGCATATGTCAAGCATTACGCCCTGGTGGTGCAGTAGAATAAGCATTGGACTGCTAATGGCAGGGTTGGCAGTTTAAACCCACTTGCCACTCCATGGGAGAAAGATGAGTCTTTCTGCTCCTGTAAAGATGCATAGCAGCGGAAACCCTATACAAGGTCACTAGGAATCAGAATTAACTTGATGGAAGTCAGCACATAGTCATAACGTAGGGTTGTGGTTAAGAGCATGAACCTTAGTTGTTGTTGTTGCTAAGTGTCGTCCAGTCAGTTCTGACTCATAATGACCCTGTACAGGGATTTAGGAGTGACTGGTGGGTTTGCACTACTGACCTTGTAGTGATCAGTCCAGTGCCGATCCTACAGTGCCACACTAGGATTCCTCTAGCCAAGGTTACACTTAACTAGCTTTACCTCTCTGTGCTCCGGTTTCCTGTTCTATAAAACAGGGCGGTAGCATGTCACTTTAAGGATTATTGTGAGGACTAAATACATCATCATAGGGAAAATGCTTATAGCAGTGACTGGTAGAGTAAATGTTATATCTAAACCAGTTAACCAGATGCCATCGAGTTGAGTCCCACTCATGTGTCATAGACCAGTACTCCACATGATTTTTAATGACGGGTTTTTCTTGCTTCTGAGACAAATCTGAGTGGATCCAGCCCTCCAACATTTCCCACTATCCAGGGACTCCTTGTTGTTAAGTGCTGTCAAGTCCATTCTGACTCAAAGTGACCCTGTATGGGATTAGCACTGGACTTTGAACCACAAGGTCAGCTTTTTAAAGCCACCAACCCATACAGGGTTGCTATGAGTGAGAACCAACTCAATGGTTAACACTTAACAAGAAAGGGTTTCCAAGGAGTGGTTGGTGGGTTTGAACTGCTGACCTGCGGTTAGCAATCCAGTACTTATTCCACAGCATCACAGCCGGACATCTAAGTCCGATTTAAATGTCCCACTACTCGTCTGTCAGTTTAGAGCGCCTTTTTAAAATGCTTTTAAAAGGTAACAATTCTGGAAGCTTAAATTTTGATGTACACTTTAAAAGGATGATAAATGTCAGTTTTAACAAAAACAAAACAAAAAACAGTTACTCTAAATCTGGACAAACTGTGACCCAACAGAAGCCTAAAAATTCAATCAGGTCATGATGTCTCAGCTGCTTGAAAGAGAGTTCCTGTCCCAGGAGAAACAAACACACAGATTAAGAAAGAGATAATTAGTCACAAATGTGAATCATCCCAGATGCCCTTGACTCAAAGGTCAGCCTCCCCCTCTGTCTCTTCTCTTGCTTCCTGTCCTGATTGATTTTCAATCCAGCTACAGAGAAGCGGGTTTTTCAATTGGCCTGGAGAAACCTGCTGGGCTGGGCCGAGCTTTTCCTTGACATTTAAAATAGACAGAGTTTGGTGTGGTTTCTATCAGCTTTTAAATGTCAGTCTTCTTTTGGCGTTGGGACTCACCCCAGGAGGGTTGGGGAAGGGCATCTGGGTGGGAACTTGTTTGTCTGGGAAACCCTGAGGTTTGTGGGGGCAGTGAATCCTGCTTACAAAGCATGCCAGATGCTTGGAAACTAACACCATGTCATTTCCTACTGGGAGCACAATCAGAGAAACTGCCCGTGGAATATCAGTCTTTTACTGGGGGGTGTGGTGTGGGCACTGATTTGTCAGTTTAACTTGAGCTACTTCTTCGTTTAAGGTGCTAGACAGGAAAGAAGTTGATCCTACACTGCTTAGTTTCTCTCTCTCTCTCTCTCTTTTTTCAGTGTGTTTTGTTTCTTAAGAACCCTCTCCCTGCTTTAAAAAAAAATCTATTGGGTTTTCCATTGTATCCCCAGTGTCTGTAAAGTATCTGGCTTGTTGTTGTTATGTGTTGTTGAGTCAGTTCTGACCCATAGCGACCCTATATAGGGTTTCCAAGGAGCAGCTGGTGGGCTTGAACTTGTTTAGCATCATAACAACCTCCATGCTTCCAAGGATAGAGGGGTGTGGCTGCACATGAGGGATATTGACCAGGAATTGAACTCAGGTCTCCAGCATGGAAGGCAAGCATTCTACCACTGAGTCACCACTGGCTTTTACTAGACATCAGAATTCAAGAGAGAAGTCCATCTCCTCCTGCAATTCAGACTCCAGCCCCCAAATACTACTGGCTTGTTGTTGCTTGGAAAGTGCACATTTTACTGCTTGAAAGAAAGACTGGCAGAAAGGCTAACCTCTGTAGAAAATAATGAAAATGACCTGAGGTGAGGGCACGGGAAGCAGGTAGAGAAATAATGCTTATCTTGGGTCTGCACACAGAGGACAAGTCGTTTGATCTGCAGAAGCTGAGAAAGATTTCCATAAGACGTTGGCCGGAAACATATTTGACATTTCCAGTATTGATTTTTCTTCTTCCTCTGTTTTGAATAGTGCCTGGGAGGAAAATTGGGGTTTCCAAGAGTAACTCTGTATCCTAGCCACAGCTTTGAGGAATAATTGGTTCCTTATAATTTTTGAGACTGATGAAGGGAAAAGCTCAACATTTTTTCTGTGGCCTAATTGGGTACCTTGGTGGTGCACAGCTGTGGGGTGGCGGGGAGGGAGGGAGGGGAGGGGGAAAACTTGCAGAGACTACTTTTTGCCATTCTGCACCTGTTGGCTGAGTTGTGTTTGTGGAGAGCTTTTCCCCAGGCCCAGAAACTTACATTCTTTTCAACGAAACCAATGTTTTGCTTGATACAGAAACTCAGCCTACAAGAAATGCCTCTAAATGAGTTAGTACTTAGGAAGAGGGGACATGCAGACATCACGATTACCAGTATGTTGTAGATGGCTTGGTAGTAGCTGACATACCACTCTTGCAGATAGGAGCAGAAAATGGAAATATATATGTAAGCCCTTATCTCCTCTTGTACATAGGATCATTATATGTTTTCATTTTCCGGCCAATTCTGCAAGAGTTGCAGGGAGCAGTTTCCCCCAGCTCATTATTATCAGAGGGTATTCAGTAAGGATTTATGGAGAAGTATCCCTGTCACTGTGGCATTTATGGTTGGACACTACAGGAATACAGATGCATCTAGCAGAAGTCCTGGTGTGGCGCTGTGGGTTAAGGCGCTCAACTGTAAAGTTGGTTTGAACCACAAGGTTGGTGGTTCAAGCTCACCAGCTGCTCCTTAGAAACACGATACGGGTTGCTATGGGTCAGAACCAACTCGACAGCATGTAACAAAAGCGGCAGCACAGCACAGCATTAATTTGGATCTGAATGGATAGTAAAGACTTAAAAATAGGCCCAGAAGAAATAAATATTTATACGGCAAAGGCAGGACTTGTGAGAAGTCACAGAAAGTTTGGTCAAACGATAATGAATGGTGAAAATCCACCTTTGTGATTTCCAAACCGAAACTGAATGGGGGGGAGAAGTTTCAGCTCTAGGCTCATCAACCTGGGAGTACTTCTTGGAGAAAGCTGGATTCTCAAAATGACTGTTATTGTCAGCTGCCATTGAATTGGCCCCAGGCTCATGACATTCACATGCACACCAGAACAAAATGCTGCCTGGTTCCACAGCAACCCCATGAGCAGGTACAGGTTCGGCCACTGTGTTCCCTAGGGTTTTCATCGGCTGAGTTTTCAAAAGTTGTCCTGGCCTTTCTTCCTACTCTCCTTTCACCTGGAAACTCGGCTGAAAGCTGTTCAGCATCCTAACAGCATGCAAACCTCCATTGACAGACAGGTGGTGGGCATCAAACCTAGATCTCCAAAGTGCAAAGACATCATTAGGTGACCAGAACGTAGTAAGGTGCTAGGCCAGTACATAAGGGACTTGAACAAGTGGGACTGGACTGCGACAAG